TTGTCTATCGGCCCCGTCCGGGGGCATCGCCCCGTTTGATGTGATGTGAAATTATAGATATCTCCAGTACTTTGCATATACTTCTTATCTTGCTATGCATAAATATTAATAATTGGTTTTCGGGTCAGCTCTTCTCTTCGCCACAATCATATTACAAGATACGCCTACGGTTACCGGGCCCGTGTCTGGTCTCAGGTAGTTGTCTCCTCGGAATGGTATCCGCCTGGTACGTGCTCCTGCCCCTTCTGTGCACATCTCCGAGCCACGGAGAGATTGCCTGATACGAAAATCGGGTAGGTGTCCGCGAGGAAGGTGTTGCGATCAGAGACATGGCCATCCGGCCCTCGTTGTTTCGTCAGGGCGGCTGAGTAGTGAGTTTGCTCCTCTTGCTCTTCTTCTTTTCCCCTGTCAGTGCACTCGATGTATACGATCACCGGGTAGGTGTCCGCGAGGATAGTGTTGGGATTAGAGATATGGTCCCCTGACGCTGTTTGTTCGCCACCGCTGCCGAGTAGCTAGGGAGTATTTTGCTCCCCTTCCTTCCTCTTCCTTTTCTTCTTCTTTTGCCCAGTCACTGCAGTGAACACAGTTGCATTGCTCTCCCCCTACTCTCCCGGAATTCTATCAGGTAGCAGGAGCAAGGTGTGCGCGGGTATTGCGTGATGGAAAACTGCAGTGGTCTGCTTGTGTCCTTCGGCCGAGAGTTCTGAACTCGGAAGCCCCCTGTCTGGTGATGTCTCCAAAGGTGCAGGTAGTTCCGGGCTAAGTCCAGTGCGGCGAACCTAAATGTTTCACATGGGCCACCCTCAGGCGTGTCTAGATCCTGCGTGGCGAGCTTTTTGTCTTTATGGGCGAACATTGCGACGGACCCGGCCTAGCGGTGTATGTATGCGGGCCTGTGTATTATCGTATACCCCTTGCCTGTAACACCTTATGTCAGTAGCGCTACCAAACTGCCGTCTTGGTGAGATAGTAGAGAATCGTAGCGACGGTCGTGATTGGTATTCGAGGAAAGCACACCGATTCGATACCTCCCGTATATGTGAGGGGTGAGATGCCCAAAAGAATCATGAATTCGGCGCTCTTGCTAAAGAGGAAGAGAAAAGAAGTCAAATCGATGCCAGAAAGGGCTCTGAGTTTCCTATCGGTTTGATCCAAGCCTCAACAATATTTTCTTATCATTGATAAGGTCCTATCTATTGGGGTCAATCTTACTTTGTTTAGTCTTAGCGTAGGATGCCTCTGTTAGGGCTATTCGTGGCTGAATTGTTTCTGGAAGGTAACCCCATGCATGGATCGTGCATCTCACGGACTCTTCGAGAACGTATGTTTCTGCCAGGAAAATCACGCAGGAACGGACAAGGGTTGATGCGGTTGATGCGGTTGATAATACTGATAGGGGTGGATCATACTGATTGAACTAGCGTTGGGATCCTATCTATTCCGGGCTCCATACCATGATCGACGTTTCAGCTCCACGGCCACTCCACATGCTGATTCGAGCAAGAGAGATGAAGCCGTACGTGGAGTGCATAGGTGGATAGGGCTCGTATTGGAAATTTTGTCTACGGAGTACTCCGTAGACAGGAATATTCAGTGGGGACTTGGCCTGATCCCTTTCATATACATTTGCGCGACTCGTAGTTAACACATATGCAAATTCCTATTTCGGTGTTCCGGGCACCGACGATCTCTCATCTACGTGAATCAAAGGGGCAAACTACACACTATACGTTAATCCGACCAATACCGAAGAAGACAGAGATATGAGATGTAATAGGAAAGTCATGATATCTAGAAAGTACCAAAGTGTAGATATACAAGCGGTGACCGGGTACGCCTGCCGGTCTCGGGAGCAAATGCCTCATCTGCGGGAAAGGAAACCGGCTACCGGATGCTTGGCCGGGGGGGAAGCCACCTAAGCCCCCCTTTCGTCCCTTTTCGTCCCTTTTCGTCCCTTTTTGATTTTTTTCCCATTTTTTCACTTTAAACCCCTCATGTGGAACCACACTGACGTGTTGGGCTATGCTTTGTTATTCAGTTGGCTTATCTAGTGATTGATAATATCAATCCGGTATCTTTCAGAAATGCAAGTTAAACTTTCCAATTGATGAGAAAGATAACAGTCCTGGTATCATTGCTAAAACTAGTTGTTTAGACTATGCATGTAGAACAAAAGTGACATTCTTGTTATTTCGTGCATACATGACCGTGTGCGGACAGGCGTTTCAAGGCGTTTTCCAAGGATTTGGGGCGTAACGTAGTTTAGTTAAGGTTACACAATTTCAACCTTCTCCGCGTATCCCCCATGGGGTAGTTATGGGGAACTGTCCAACCAACTTCAATTCTACTCCACACAGTCTCCACGTACTTGTCATCATAGCGGGCCGATAATAAGTGCAACGATATGCAAAATGCTCGAGAATAATTAATTATTTCCCAGTTTCTGGTGGGTCTTCGCAGTTTTACTTCTGAAACCGACCTAGCGTATGATTGCAGGAAGTGAGTGATTATACCGAGTAGTATCCACAATTGGGGGTTGTAGACGAGTCACCATTTACGCCATTGACTCCAACCAACTGGCCCTTATCTGTTTCTCCGGGCGCCCCATCGATCAGGCAGCCGATGGTCTGAAGAGAGACAGTTATAAGCGGTGCGACATCCCGCATACTCCGAGACCCAGTTTTTGTATCCGCCTTACATTCCCCATTCCCCAGTCTCCAATATGATGGATATGAAAAACGAAAAAGACCTTGAAGGTCTTGCTCCGTCCCAGAGTAATGATGTCCACCCTAGTGTTATTCACAATCACGATGATGTCTTTGGAGAAATCACCGAATCCGGACCCAACTACCGAAATGTATGTATCTTCTTTTCTTTTCCTTTTGCCATTATTGTTTTTGCTTCTCCATGAAATGTCCAATTGGAGCAGAACTAACATCTTTTTAGGTAGGATGGGCAGGAACAGTGATCCTCATGATGAAGAGCCAGATTGGCCTCGGTGTCCTTTCCATCCCAGCTGCTTTTGACACATTAGGCCTCGTCCCAGGTGTCATCTGCCTGCTCATCGTTGGCATAATTACAACATGGTCCGACTACATGGTCGGCGTATTCAAGCTCAACCATCGTTCAGTCTATGGTATCGACGATGCTGGTTTTTTGATGTTTGGTGCCATCGGTCGTGAGGTATTCGGTTTTGTATTCTGCCTATGTAAGTATCTCCATCATAACGAATATAGACTCGCTTCTAACATGCTCTCTAGATTGGATTTTCGTCGCCGGCTCAGGAATGCTCGGTCTTTCAATCGCCCTCAATGCCGTCTCGAGTCACGCCACATGCACAGCTGTCTATGTTGCCGTTGCAGCCATCGCAGGAATCGCTTTTGGCAGTATTCGGACTCTTGGAAAAATCAGTTGGCTTGCGTGGATTGGACTGACTTGCATTTTGATCGCAAGTAAGATCTCCCCTACTGACCTCGCGCAATTCAACACAGCCCTAACCGATTTGTATTATAGTTTTCATCGTCACCATCGCTGTTGGAGTTCAGGATCGCCCGGCCCTGGCCCCTAGAGAGGGGGTCTGGGTATCTGACTACAAGATCATTGCCAACCCTTCATTCAGTGAAGCCATCACTGCCGTGTCCTCGATTGTCTTCGCTTACGCCGGTACACCCGCATTCTTCTCTATCGTGTCTGAGATGCGCGACCCCAAATACTACACTCGCTCGTTGATCATCTGCCAAAGTGGCGTGTCTGCTGTCTACATTACCATCGGTGTTGTAGTCTACTACTACTGCGGTTCCTATGTTGCCTCGCCCGCTCTTGGCTCCGCTGGTCCTACTATGAAGAAGATCAGTTATGGCTTTGCCATTCCAGGTCTTTTGGTCACTGTGATGCTGTTTGTTCACGTAAGCACTTCCTCTCTCAGATTTCAGAATCTCTACGAACTAACACAACCCTTATAGCTACCCGCGAAATTCATCTTCGTCCGCGCCCTCAGAGGCTCCCAGCATCTCACCTCCAACAGCATGGTCCACTGGGGCTCCTGGATCGGTTGCACCGCCGGAGTCGGTATTATTTCCTACATCATCGCAAGTGCCATCCCCGTCTTCGACAGTCTCGTCTCACTTATCGGTGCTTTGCTCGGCACATTCATGTGTTTCCAGCCCATGGGCTGCATGTGGCTGTACGATAACTGGAGCAAGGGCAAGGTCGAACGATCCCCGAGGTGGATCGCCATGGTTTCCTGGAGTGTCTTTGTTATTGTGATCGGTACCTTCATGATGGTGGCCGGTACATACGGATCTATTGTCAGCATTATCGCAAGCTATAACGCGACGGGCGGTTCGGCTGCTTGGTCTTGCGCGGATAACTCAAATTCTTCATAGATTTTTGGTCAGCAGTATTTTCTGCTATGTTTGATACCAATGCATTAGAAATGCATATATATATATATAGCGGAAGCGTGTTAACAATGTCATATAATTCGAAGTTCTTCTTGTGTTTATTGTAACATCAGTGCTCTGGCGACTTCCCGTTGTGTGCTCTAAGCGTTCGTTGTTCATCGCTAGTTGCACATGCGTCACAGGAGTGGTATACTAAATACTAAAATCATGTAATTAGTATTGCTAGATTCTCAATGAGAACGTGCATTTAAACGTACTATTTTCATTGTATTAAATTAATATTGATAGTATGCAATAATTAAATGGAATGTATAGGGTGGTAGATGTATACATTGCGGGATCCCCGAAAACTTTTGCGCTAGAACTATACATGGACAACTCAAAGATGCCAGGTATAATCTACTATAATACACATAGTTTAACAACTATTGCAGAAATAAAGCATCTACCGCTATTCTCGATCATGGCACTCCAACCACAATCATCAGCGTAAAGAGCGCTTCGCAGTTAAGTATGGAGAAAATTAGGTGCGGGCTAAACTTATTTCTTCATTTCATCAATATATATATATAGTAATGATAGCTAAGAAATGAACGTTAGCCGGTATAGCTGCCTCTACTGGAACTCCACCGCATCATACAAAAAGGCAGCTGATCACGACTAGCATCCGAAGCCGGCTGAGTGTTGGGGGCCCAGCTGATGCCCTTATGAGACCACTTTCGCGGCGTTGACACCATCTTGTACGAATCCAGTATATTAACAATAATTATTCAGTAGGAGAGTTCCATTGGGAGGTGGAATGCGAAGAAAGAGCTCCATAATGAAAGTCGACTGGGCACGGGGGAAAATCCTCCACTATTCTTACGGAGCAGGGATCTGATATACAGGATGCGTATTACAGGACTCCGTACGGAAGCCGCTTGCAGGGATCTGCTTATCTTGCATCTACAAGTACGGAGTACCTAACTACTATATGTAACATATGCAGTGATAACAGGGGTAAATCTGATAAGAAATATGGTCAAAATGGGATCAGAGCTGCAGAAAAACTTCTGGGATGATATTTATATTTATATGTACTCTGTATCAATATTCTAAACCCACCTAGCATTCGTCTATCCCTCCTCAGAACCCCAGAAGCGCCCACAACTCCGATCTCTGCCAACGGTGTATCCCAGTTACACTTTAATGACGATCTGATAACGCCACGTGGGGGCGAAAAGGAGCAGCCAAACATTTTGGCCTAGGCCTTAGGTTTTGAAGATGATTCATCATTTACATCTGTTTGATATTGAACCATCCCATGCTTGTTGCTTGCAGGGTGAAAATATTGTTTAATCTCTGTTTGGTGGCTACTGGCGAAGGGGAAGAAGAGAAAGAAAAATCATTGTTGTTCAATTTAGGAAAAAAGGAGGATATTTATACCCTGATGTCTTACAAACAATCTGGATAGTCTTCAAGCAAACAAATGGAAATGAGATCATCCAACACTGGGGAGTGAGGACAATTGACGCCTAAACCACGGCTTCTCGCTGTGTTCAAGAAGATAAAACGCTTTTCCCACCGTCTTCCGTCAGTCTGTCTCTAATCTTGATCACCATGTGCCCCGAGCCCAGATTCCTGAGCTCCTGCGAGCCTCCTGAAGCAGTGCAAGAAACTGCACTCGGTGAAAATATTAAAGCCTCGCCCACCCGGAGATGAACGATTTTATGGAACAATGAGAACTTTCTAGCAATCCCAGCGTTTTTCGGGTGGTCATCGTCATAGACCGACGTCTCTTGATTCGACTGTGCATCCAAGGCGGCTCCAGCCACGTGGCCTTGTAGTGCGCGTATCCACGCAGGGGACGAAAATCTATGGACAATAGTGATCGAGCACAGACTGAGAAGGTCGCTTGAAATCGTTGGCTCTTGGGTAGAAATCAAGATACGGGCCGCGAGGTGACGCTGTAAGCGAACAGTGGAGAGAAGGGTATCCGTAAAGCTTCGAGCTTCGGCCGAATCTTTCATGTACTAGAAATTGTCAGCGGCGATAAATCAGCTAAGTGCGTGTAGAACACATACCTTATGAGCCTCGTCAAGGGCCACTATTCTGCCAATCTTGGTATCCTGCTCCATGAAAATACTAAAGCAAACGTTGAAAAGTGAGCAAGCGATATCAGGAGAGACACAAGGACAGGAGAGGTCGACAATTGTCAATTGTGAGGCCTGGACCGTTGATTAGTCCCTGAAAGTAAGTTGAGAATTTATTGTACCTGTCTTACCTTCGGTATCCAGTCAGAGCCTGCTCCTTGAGGATTCGCCTGCTTTCCATTTCCTTTCTTGCTCAGGACTGCCTGCTGTGGGGGCATCAAACTTTCAAGCATATCCAATCGTTGCTTCAGAGGCGCGATTTGACCCGGAAGAAGGCCAGAGCTAAGGATTCTTTTCTTGAAGTCCATATAGTCAAATTGGGATCCTGCCTTTTGTTGTAAAAGGCGCATTTCCCGCAGAATCCGCTGAACAGTATACACGTACAGAGGAACGGGCCCCGAGTCTTGACCAACTGCCATAAGATCCAGCATACGTTTAATGTTCAGATTAGCTTGGTCTATCTGCAAAGGCTCAACCTTGATGTTGAATCTCGAGTACGTTTTCTGCAGGCCCATTAGCGAGATGAAGGAAATCGGGGGGGG